ACGTCTGAAAAGTTGTCGTGAATGACATAACTACGAGACTAACATAGAGACATTTATCTAAGTCATGGTTTAATATGAATGAATAATGATGTGTGATACATATTTAGGATAACTATTCTTCGCTGGAATATGCGGGCATTGAATGTGTTGTTGAAAGCATTGATGGCGGAGGGATCAAAAGCATTATTTCTGTTATGGCAAATTAAATTATGTAACTGGGTCATTTGGTCGACGAGCTGTTTACACTAATGTAAATTAAGAGAACACTTTAGCACAGCATATGTTTGAATGATTTTAGATTGAAAACCGCTAATTCACAGAACAATTATATAATCTTTCGACCAAATATACAAGTTATTTGTAATCTATAAGTATATAATTCCGACAAACAAATCTTCACATTTTGGCAAGGAATTAAGGTACAATACCATTACAAATATACTCATAAAAGACATTGCTAACAAGTTTGTATTATCTGTTAAATTTGATGTCATGAAGTTATGTAGTAACATTAGCCTTGAGTTGGAATCAACAGTTACGGCGTTTGCGAGCTATGCGTGTTAAAATCTGATCCAATTTTATCTGGAATACTTAAAATCCTGACATGCAATACTGTCTCGAATCCTACTTCAGAACACGTTTAACACAACTAGGCTAGGGAGTATGAAATATTCCATGTTTGCTTGGATGCAGTGGCAACGGATGAAATCTCATATAACATGTATACATTTAGTAAAAAAGAGACAAGATATGAGGGCTGTATCCCCGTTTATATTAATTAATAGATTGATGTACCAATCCGTTCAGACAAGTCCACATTGTTCACATACATTTTTGTTTTTTTATAACAAGAGATTTATAAAGTTATTCATGGATTAGTTATGTTATAAATGTTAGTCCTCAATATACCGAGTAATTACCACTTTGGAATTTTTTTTGAAAAATGATATGATGTTGCTTATGTTATATGAATGAAGGGTACCTGAGTATATGTCTAATTGTCCATCGTATATGACTTTACTGATTCGCAGAATATCACCACGAGTATCACAGTGTTCAATCTGAACAACTTATGTTTTCTATCTAATCACTTATTTTACAGTGTTTGGTCTTTGAACAAATGTTTAATATAATATGTGTGGCATCACATGAGAACATTAAATACATAATTGATTGTATGTCGCACAACTTGGTCGTAAGAGGTACATACGTAATAGCATGCAAATAGCATCTGTTTACAGTTGTTTAGCTTTTATTCAAGAAAAAACTAAACGCAGAAGGCTTACTATTACACACCCATACTAATCTACGATTTTTAATAAACAGGCTTCATTTAATTACTTTCACTATGTATTATTTATTATATGTGAGTACATGAGCAGTCACTATCCATGAATTCTGTCATATGGTTTCCATTCGTCTCGCCTGAACAACTTCACGGCGATGAATATACTCGTGATATTAAACTGTCACACATATCTTACGGTGCTCAAAACGCAGTGTACATAAAGTAAATAAGTCAATATCTCGATATGTGACAGTTCAATGTACATACATAGTAAATTGCTATATCCCAGATAATTAGAATATTCCAGAAGATACCAGAGGAAGTAATAAATAATAACTCACAATAAAGGGTAAGTCAATGCCGATTTTTGAAGTCTTCATTAATTGAACAGAAAAACTCATCACTTAAAACCCATATGCACTTTGTTCTTACGACATTGCTGCTTGAAGTATTTCGTCTTTTAATCAAAAATTTACGCCTCTGTAGTTATATCTGAACAATTTATAAAACCTTGAAATTACGCAATTTTTCTGAGTGAAAATTTCCATCAAAACAATTGAAAAACCCGTGCCATTTTGAGATTTTTCATAGTTGTAAACCTTACTTTGAGGATCTTTTTGAAAATTGGTAAAATAGAAGTAACCTGTTCTCCCGATTTCACCAGCCAATCATAAAAAATATTTTAGACTGCACTCCTACTAAAATATAAATTCCGATCCGAAATTAAAAGTCGACGCTACAGGTCATAACATTTCTGGTCATATATATATCCTGGTGGAGGGGGGGGGGCTTCTTATCAAAAAGAGTGAGAGTACAAGGGCTCCATCTAACATAAACCCTGCCTTCCAAAACCATTTATAGATACATAATTTTGGTAAATTTCGAGAGTCTTAACAACAATTATGCAAGAAATTCGTAATGGGAAAGGGAAATTATCTTTCTAATTTCAAATGACGTAGGCTATAAAAACCAACAACCTTTTTATTAAATGCGTGAATTGACCGACATCGTGTTATATTGTACTAGCGTGATCTGCGTGTGTGCTAATAGCATTGCCTCGCATGTTTCTACTTCATATGATAAGACCGATATATATATGTAATAACTGACTGTTATTAATTTGCATTCCTTTAAAAAATAATTTTCAATATCCACCTTGCCTGAATGATTTCTGATTGACTTATTTTACCTGACAATTTCCAAGAATCAAAAGACTAAAGCACTAAGCTACATCTTTGTATATTGGGACTATTATTTCGCGTGTGTGTGTCAAGTTATGCGTCTGCACTTTTTCTTAACGCTCTTTTTATATTCGTCAGCCACACAGTCCAATAAATCATATACTTTAATAACGGCCCTCAAACAGCATGGAATAAAAAATGGATAGTCTATCATGCGAAAGTCAGCAGTCAATCTATTGACCCATTGAATCTTTTCACTTTTTATCAGACGGAATATAGGTTTTACATCCTGGTAATTTAATAGTTGAAGGTTATGTTTGTGTAACCACGTTTTAAGGACACACAAAATAACAAAATCCGCCAGATATATTTTGAAAGACATAACAAAAATGCACATTATACAGAGTCTTGGCCACTTCTAACATTTTACATATATTCATTGTATTTTATTCATAAATGTCGACTACACTTAACACGTCATTGCCAGGCAAATAGCCACTGGCATGTATAAGAGCAGATCCATTAAATATATTGGTTGCTGGACATAAGTCTATTTCCAATCACATGTTACGCTCATGCATGTTTGTATTTAATTCATTATTTTATACCATATAATATTTAAACATATTTTTATTCGGGTTTCTATATCGAAACCGTTAGGAAAACTGCTATTAACAAAATTAAGATCAGGTCGGCTTTCCATCGACTAATATTTATTCCTATAACGCGTTGCGTTGACGTGTTGGTTTGGTTAGATCGAACCAGCAGAAGTAATTCTCTCTTCGTTTGCATGGGTCAAATTCACTGACAAAAAGCAAGTTCTTGATGGTTGTTTTCCTCACGACGTACAGTATATATCGCACAGATGTAACATTAGCTAAATAAGGTTTGTAGTATCACTAAATTTGTTTTTGTAATTATTGTTACTCACACTAAATATCATACTTGTTCCTATAGTCTATTTCTGCCTGTTCGACACTTGTTTACAATATATGTACCGACACAAATAATGTGCGAAAATTGTTTTAGAACAAGTGTAAATAACTGTATATTTTTTACGTTATTATTGCAAATAGTTATATGTTTTTGCGTTTCGTCCTAGTTACCTAACGATTTATTTTATAGAATCGTAATTGTATTCTTATTCCATGTCTTGATATATATATATAATTATTTTGGCACATGGTCAAGAGCCAGTCGGTAAATTTTAGTATTTGAGTTCTTTATCTAATTCTAGCAACTTATCGACTATTTTGGTGGATTCCAGGAAAGAGTGTGGTAGCCATACCTGATTTGCATATTTTAAACATTACGTACCAATAATCTTCCTAATCGCTTGATATGTGAACAAGCAAATTACAACCTATACAAAATACAAGTGGTATATCAAACGAACGGTATTACAATGCAGAATTCTATAACATATTTGTAATTCTCTCATGAAATACTCAAAAAGAGAAATTACACTAAAGTTAAACATATACGTTACATGAGGGTCAAGAAATTGAATTGCTCATTACTCCGGTATTTTTACGTCTGAAATACATTTTGAATTAAAAAAATATGATAATGTCATTATGTTTTCACAATCCTAATTTGTATAATCACGTAACAGAATAACACAATACAGCTATATATATATATATATATATATATTTAATATACTCACAAAATAACAAATGATGCATCAAATAGAAGTAATATTAATGTGGAAGTAATATTTAATGTTTTAATTCTAGACAAAATAATACCTTTGATATCTGACCAATACATAAAAATACAAATGCTAGATTAAATGAGGCCAATCATGAATGTTTCCGATTCCACATCAAATGTTGCCGAATATAGGTCAAGTGAAGTAAAAACGCAATTGTAAACAGGAATTGCAAATCAAACAATAAAGTGGAAACGCAATTGTAAACTGGAATTGCAAATGAAAAAGCAAATTGGAAATGCAAACTCGTTTTGTAGGGCAAACTGCAATTACAAATCTGGAGAGCAAATGTACCTTCAATAATGAATACATTTTAAAATGTAAAGTGGAAGTGAATATTGAGAATGAAAAACATATTTTCGAGTTATATCAGTCTAAGCTACGGTCACCTGCCTGTGATAACTATTGTAAAAAACATTGTTCTACAGTTATTCAACAAGATATAATTGTCATAACAGAATTCCAATATTAGTAGCATATCTTGGCTTGTATATAGCGCCTAAACATGATGGTGATTTGATATACATGTAAAGTTACTGCATCTCGATTATACCATATACTAGCGACAGTCGGAAAAGTTACATGTGTTCGATAGAGCCAGCGGTCCTTTCGGAAGTGCAATAATTTATATTTTCCCGGGTTGTCATTAGTGTCCACTGCTAATACATCGTTGACTCACTTGCAAAGTGTCTCATGTAGTCAATCAAACACGCTAAAGTCAGTAAGGCCTAACTTCTGAGAATTGCCACATACAGATTAAAATCCTTTGTATGTTTTAGTGCTAGATACTGCGATGTAGTGACGATAAGCACCTCACCTTCAGTTAACCTTTTACCACTACCATCTGCTAGCTTATCTAACCCTAGTTCGTCCACTACAATGATCCTAGCCATTGAGAAATACCAATGAAGACCACCTTCTCACTTTTCAGTGAATCAAAAGTCTACACTTAGCGAGTTTCCATCCAACCTGGTTCACTTGCAATTTAAAAGATAAGACCCATTCGTAGCGCAATGCTTTTTTCCCGGCACAAATTCATAGTTTCAAACTATATTTTTGACATTATACTATGAGACTGTGTATGATGCATGCAAACCTCAAGTATGTGTTACGGTAAGTTAAATGCAAGTGTTCATTATTTTTGGTGTATGCAACAAATATGGGACCATAACCATACTCAATTTGCATATTGAGTTATAAACCTTGTCGTCTTAAAGATGAAATAGACGTGATTGCTTTCTGTTCCGAAGTTCACTGAACAATGCTCTTTAAAGTTGATTGATGTACGAATGCGAAACTTGAAAGTACGTTATAAATGTTCGTGATTATTACATTCTATTTACGGAATATACAGCGTGTTGCGTGTTATATTTTGTGAGTGGTCAAATAAATTACATTTTAAGCGTACTCAATTTATTCCAATGCATTTGTCGTTTTATATTTTACATTTCAGGAAATTATATTGTAAGTGTTTATTTCCCACAATTATTTCAGCAACAATTCACGCACACAAACGCACATGATTAACAGTTCTTTTATTATTCATGAAATAAAACATACATAATTCACATAATCAATATGTTTGTTAGTGTGCATGAAAGATGTAAGTTTTATGCAAATAACACGTGGTCGTTGGTTAAATAACTCTGGCATCATCGATATTATGGTCAAGCTCCATCTTTGGACTGCTAGAATTCGTGATGCTATGTTCTATTTGCTACGACAAACATACATGACGGATATCACATGTCCAAATATATTTCTTCACCAATTTGACTATGTAGTGTAATGTCCTTGTGTATTGTTATGTCAATTGTTGTCAGCAATTTGTTTTGTGCCTCTTATATTGTAAATTTCCCTACGTGACTTTTGTCTAAAGATATACGGTTGGGATTATTATTTTCGTTCTACACATAATTCAGATTGTGGTTGCTGAAACATCATTGGCTTTACTGGCACTGTACACCTTCGTTATTGCTTAGTATCAGCTGTTACGAATACGCTTACTCCATATTTCTGGCGGTCGATATGTCAATACCTGTGTGGTCGGTCTGTGTATAGTAGTTTATCAGTTGACTATGATGGAGTAGCGTTTGTAATCTCGACGTTTAGCGAAATACTACCGCCGTTATGGCACGATAAACGTCACCGACACGTCAGTAATGCTGAACAACATCGTGGTATGTGTATTCAAACAAACAGAGACAAACATGTCATGCGATGAAACGGTGTATATGTTTATAAGCGATATGCAAATTTCAGACTAGATAAAAAATACCTTTGTGTTGGGTTTCCATGAACTGAGAAGCTTTATTCTATCACTCTCAGACGTAATTTATTTATTCGGGAACGTCGATTTGCGATACAGCCAATGGGCCAAACCATAACGGTATCTTTATATATAATTACGCTATATTGCCTTCTTTGCGCTGGAAGGCACGACCACCTGTCGAAGCTAGTTATTGTCAAAGCCGCCAAATACATTAAGGCTTGATTAGCAAATGCCCTTGAACATCTGTGCGAAATATCACCTGTATTGTAAGAATATCGAAGTGTACACAATCTTTTTCCAGCCACATTTATAGAAAATGTTCAGTTTATCTTAGACTCACTCAGCATGTCAGTGAGCAAACACAAATATGAACTGTATCAGGAACAATATATTTACTGTATGAAGGCGTTATATAAAGAAATGTTCGGGTGTTCTGTCCGTACAGGTTGTTTTTACGGCAATTCATATGTCAGTAAAGACATTTTACTGTCATTCCGAAACGATTTGCAATGATTTTCAAAACGTTTAGCACACAATTTACTTCTGGTCTCATGTAATCTTGATCGTTGGTGTAATTGTGACATTTCACAACATTTTAAAATTGACTAAGGGTTGGCCATGAACAACATCCAGGACGCTGTTGTGATGTAGGTAGATAGATTCAATCGCTCAAACCATAAAAGCTGTGATATATACGGTACCGTTGTAAGCTATTTTGGTCTCCGCGTACAGTTCGAACAGCTAACATGATGATGTCCCAAAGTGACTGCCGTGGCGTCAAGTTTATCGTACCATATCGGCCGTGATTTTCCACGTTAAACGTCACGACTGCGAATAATATGCATACTCAGCGTGTGGTTAACCCATACACACACATAGATTACATATACATGTATTGCACATATTGATGTGACCGCCAACAATACACGGTAAACTTATTTGAGTCGTATTAATACTATAGTAAGCAATAATAAGGTTCTCATTGTTACTAAAGTATCTCGCCACTGCATGCAGACGCGCTAACCACCCAACCATATTAACTGACCCGAAAAGCTTGTAGTGAACACGCCCCAAGCAGCGAATAGATGGAAATACCCTAACCGAATCTCAGACAGCACAAACAACGTATAATATTATATGATTCAATACGAACCACTCAGTCGATGAGATGTTAATAATTACCGAAAAACAATTAATTACATATTAACGTACAACACGAGATTTTAACCCGCGCGGGGAGTATGGCCTAGCAAATATATAATTTAAATGATAGCACATGTTTTCGTGGATATTTTCAAGATTCGTTGCCTGTCCAAAGGATGTCAGAACCTGTCCAAATCATGCCAGAGCACCATCAATATTATGCTCATGTTCACCAGCAATGTTTATTTAACTAACGACCAAGTGTTATTTATTTTATCATATCGAATAGATAACCCAAAGCCCTACATAACGGAATTATCATGCACATCAACAACCATACGTGATTACGTGAATTGTGTATGTTTTATTTCATGAATAATAAAAGATCTGTTTGTGTACGTGCATTGTTGCTGGAATAAATATGGGAAATAAACACTTACAATTTGATTTCCAGAAATGTAAAATATAAAATGACAAACGCATTGGAATAAATTGAGTACGCTTAAAATGTAATTTACTTTACCAATCAAATGGGACAACACTCAATACGCTGTTGTTCATGTAGTAAAGTGAATGTATCGATTTTCTAAAGATCTCATTCTATGAACGTACTCCATGATTGAGCATTCGTACATCGACCAGCTTTAATAGAGCGTTTCTCAGTGAGTTCGAGTGGAACAATGTAGAACATGCTGTCACACTGTGATGCAATCTCCGATACAAAGTTTGCATCTTTGTCGCACATAAACTTGCTTTATATTTAGAAAATCAGAAAAATTACATATTTTATGTAACAGTCAGATTAGTCTAGATGATTTCTTAATGTGCTCGGTAAAAATTCTACACTTATTTAAAGCAACTAAAAAGTGAGCGAAAACTTATTATGCGCAGTATCACTGATCAATAGTTTTATTGAAGTCATCATGTTTGTGTTCTCTGTCATAATTGGTCAATACGTTGTCACATAGGGTTATATAGAATTCCGCTTAACTATTGAGATCCGTCAATATTAGTTCTTATCAACAAGTCACATTCAAGTTCACATTCTGATAACTCGACATGAACACAATTATTGGACGTAATTTAAATTACATTCATGTAATTTCGACATTTCTTTGTGAACAGTGAACGTTCACCTTGACAGCGAATTCGTGATAACAATAATATCAGGTGTCCCTAGATACGTATTCCAGCGTAGAAGCTGCGTATAAACCAACAACACTTTGGTTCGACTCACGCTCGATGCCTCGAGTTACGAGATTTGTATCTTCGATGGATTATTTTCGCAATGCAGTTAATGTCAAGTATTTATAAGACTTTATAGTGCTCTTAATCTGGTGTGAACACCTTTCGGATACTGAAAATTCTTTTCTTGTCAAAGCTGAATAAATGTCATTGTCTTATGATCGTTTTCCATAGGACGAACACTATTGTGACATCATTTTGGGAATAGCTCATAATGTGTTTAGTTTTATAACATGTGACCACTAGGTAATTAGTGGAATAAGGACCTGTCTTAGAATAGTCACTATAATGACACACAGACAAGTGCTCCTCTTGCAAATTAACCGGGAGCATATGTTACATAATGTTTCGCTTTGAGCAGCTTGTTATATAACGTATTATTACCAATACGGACAGACAAAATCAACATGCATCTATATACGTGATCAGAATCATAATTGTTTAAACTCAAAGATTTCAAATTCTAGTTAATTTTCAATGTTGTAATGAGGCTTTCTATTATAAGGTAAACTCGGCATGTTAATATTCTTCACTGACTGACTGACTGAAAAATGCCTCAATGGAGTGGGTGTTGTATAAGATCTGGTGGCGACATGAAGCATTGTCTGGTTGAAGACTTTCCAGTTTCTGACAGAATATTGCAAATCCTCAAGGCCACGCTAAACGCTGTGCAAATAAAATCATGAAATGAATGTAATGCGTTTTTCTCGTCACTTGAGTGGTTCTTAGATCTACTTGAATTGAACTTCTGGAAATAGTTTATATTGCTTTACAAAGCTAAAATTACGTATTACAAGTGGAAATATCTGATTTGCTATTCTAATATATCAAGTCAGTGGACACCAAGTGAAAACGACTTGGACGAGGGACATTAAAGATATCCTACATTTATGAACTTCTTAACATGCGATATTTAATCTTCTGTATCATAAAAATGAATTGGTATCTTGAAATTCGTGAATATAAATCCAACATAGACAGGTCTCGTCTTCCTAATTGATTATGCAAACCACACGCAAATATAAAATGTCAACAAAGATTACTTCAATATATTTGAAGAGATCGTTGAATTTGGGTATTGTGAATATATGATTGCGTAAGAATATACAAATCAGGAATGTGAGTGCAATTACCAAAATATTTATATCCAGTTTGATTATATGCGATCATGTCACGTAGCGTTGGGTACAATATCTTAATTAATTGCCAGAAGAATCACAACGTCAGATGTTG